CAAGACAAATGCATATTGTTTTCCACCCAAGCTAGTAGTTCTAGTTGGCCCAAAAAGATCTAAATGGATCAATTGTAAAACTCTACTAGTTGATACATCATTAATGGATTTAAAAGAAACTCGCTTTTGTTTTCCTTTAGCACAAGCATCACAGATTTTATCATTATCAAATTTAAGCTTAGGCAACCCTCGAACTAAATCACCTTGAATTAGCCGTTGCAAAACACTCATACTAGCATGTCCTAGTCTCCTATGCCATAACCAACTATCATGTTCATCCTTAGTACTAGGCACAAATTAGTCATATCAATAGAATCTAAATGCACCATGTAGATATCCCTATTTTATGACCAATAAGTATAATCAAAAGTAGATGCAATGTCAATCAATTTTGTAATCATTTAAAATAAAACATTGTATCTTTTATCAATTTTTTTAAAAGATTATGCTTTTAACCCATTCACATATAAAACATTATGCAATGTTGATTATAGAGAGTAAGAGCACATGCATAAAGTTTTTGAAAATGTTATGCATTAAAACTTTATAATATTTAAACAAAAATCTATGCATAAACATTAAAAATTTCAGATCAAAATTTTGCAAAACCAAAGTTCTTGAAAAATCAATATCAATTATTAAAGAGATATCAATTACATTTTAAAATCAATTTTGACCAAAAATTAATATGATGAACTAGAGTTTAAAAAAACAATTTACCAAAAATTACCATGTTCATCATACAATATTTTTCAACATACATGAGACAAAACATAATCATTTAGAATTATTTAACATTTAAAACCTCATGCATGCATAGAATAAATGAGCAACCAAATAAAATAAAAAAAATTAAGTTTAGAGGTTACCCATTACTTTTTCATGTGTGGCTAGAGCATCTTGAATATCATCAACTTCATCACCATTGCTCCCACACACATACAAGAGACATTTAAGTAGATTTTGGTATCCAAATTGCTTTGGATCCTTGAACATTAGTTTCAATGCCTCTTGTTCATTTTGGAATCCATACTTGTCTAATTTTAAATCGTTTTCCTTTCTTTAAAGGACAAGTATGTTCCTTATGACCATGATAATGACAATGTGAGCATATTGTCATTATTGAACTAGATGAATTATTTAGAATGATCTCTTTTTCTTTAGTTAAACATTCAAGCTTATCTTTTAAATTGAAATTTTCTTTTTCAATACTTTCAAATTTCATTTTTGAGAGTTCTAAATCCTTCTTCAAGATTTCATTTTGATTTTCAAAATCCATTTTCATTTCTAGAAGAAGTTTGTTTAATTTGAAAATTTCTTTTTCAAAGTTTTCAGATTTTATTTTTGAAAGCTCTAACTCCTTTCTCAACATTTCATTTTGATTTTCCAAGTCTGTTTTAGCTTTCAAAAGAAGATCATTTTTAGCAATAAATTTAGAAATCAATTTATTGTATTTGGAGTTCATGGTCTCAAACTCCGAAAATAATTTATCATAAGCATCTTGTAACTCATTAAAAGATTTTGAATTTGATATATTTGAGTTAGAAGATACCTTTGGCTCTGTGAGAGCTAATAGAGACATCACTTTTATTGGTTCTTCTTCTTCCTTGTCTCTATAGATCTCCTCAAGCTTATCCCACATTTTCTTGGCACTTGAACAAGAAGAAACTCCTTTATATACATTAGGATCAATTGCACAACACAACATGTGCATAGCCTTTGAGTTTTGTTGAGCTTCATTCCGTTCTTGAATACTCCACTTCTTTGCCTTCTTAGAAGGAGAGGAATATCCTTTCTTGATTATCATCCAAGCTTCCATATCAAATGCTTTGATGAATATCATCATACACCTCTTCCAATGATGATAATTTGTTCCATTGAAGTGTGGAGGCACGTCAATTGGTCTGGATTCTTCCATGGAGAATGAACCGGAAGTGGACGCCATCTTTATCGATTTAACTCTTCCTGGATCGACTCAAGAGGCGATTAAACCTTCAAATGAGTTAGGCTCTGATGCCAATTGTTGAGTTAATCGATTGACGAATATGGCCAAGAGGGGGTGAATTGGCAATTAAAATTTTGGTGGAAGCTTTTGCAGAAAATTGAAAGTAATTGCACATCGATTTAGAGTGGTTCGACTTTATCAACCAAAGTCTACGTCCACTACCTTAGCTATCCACACTAAGGATTTTCCACAAATTCACTAATTTGTCTTTCTTTTGAGGACAAAGAGTAACCTTACAATCCCTCAAGAATTATACCCCAAATTCTTGAGAACACTCCCTCCCAAAGAGAACAATACAAATTTTGCAAACTTACAAGAAAATCCTCACAAGGTAGATTGTTTGCACAATTCTATAACAAAAAAAAGAACACTCAAAGATGGATACAATTGAGCACAAAAAGTGTTCTTGAAAGCAAAATGAATATTGAATGAAAATAGGCTTGAAATGCTCAAACTTGAGGTTTGATGCTTTCTCTTTGATTCTCTCTTGATTCTAGTTGCTTGATGTTTCTTGTTGTTGATCAATGGCTTCTAAGCTTGCTTAAATACACCTTGAATCACTTCTGAACGTTGGGGATGATTAGAGAAAATAATATAGCCGTTTTAGTGTGAAAACAATTAATAAAACAGTTTGGAGCGTGGGGGGAATCGGTACCCCCTATGGGGAATCGGTTCCCTAAGTGTAAAATTCAAATATTTCGACCGTTGAACAGGGGGAATCGGTACCCCCTATGGGGGAATCGGTTCCCTCCGAGCATTCTGGAAATCTCGGAGCCAAACCATTCAGGGAGGAATCGGTACCCCTTGGGGGGGAATCGGTTCCCTCTGAGCAATCTGGAATTTTTGGCTTTGAAATGGTTCGAAATACTTTGAAAGATTATTTTGAAATTGTTTTAAGATTAAAACTTAATTTTACACTTAAGTAAGGATTAAAAATGATTTTTGAAATATTTTGAGTAATGTTTTGATATTCAAATAATTATATCGAATATACTTAGAAAATCATTTTGGAAAATCTTAAAATTCATTTAACTTAATTTGTTATATCGAAATATCAAAATATTTTCAACACGATCCAAATCAAGTCCAAACCAAAATGGCACAACTTGAACTCGATCTGAATGACATGTTTGCCACCTCTCTTTGTGTCCTATAACATTTTCAACCTCTTGAGGTACTTTTGTAAAACTCAGTATAGTAGTGACATTAAGTTTCTCTAAGACAAATTTATCTAAATTTGAGGCATGTGTACTCAAGATAATTGCATAAAGATTCATTTAAGATCAATATATTGATAAAATTAGGTCAATAATGCATCAGAATAATTAATTAGTAAAATATGACACCTTCAAATTTATTTTGGGATCTAGGCTATTTGCTACAGTGTTCGTGGAACTCGTAACGCTCACGTGACTAGTTTCATAAAATATATTAAAAAATTTAGAACTTGTCATATGATATAGAACAAAATTGAATAGATTGGTCATGTCCTGTGATGTGTTCGAAATTTTTAATATATTTTATAAAACTCGTCACACCCACGTGACGAGTTTGACGTGTACTGTAATAAATGACTTAGATCCTAAAATAATTTTCAACCGCCTCCATTTTTTAAAATTCTTTTCCCAATCTAAATCAATAGACATGGTGATAGAATAACGATGCATTGAAGACATCACATCTTTGAAAAAGAGAAATTTTAGACGAGATAATTTAATCTCATTCGAATCTCGTGATAATAATTCGAATTATTAGTAATTCTTTTGAGTATGATGAAAAATCATTTGATTATCAATAATTTTTTCTAACTTGACGATAAGTACTTCGAACCATTTGTAAGTAGAAATGATCAAATTAAAAATTTAGAATTAATTGAATTGATGCTATGATTGATTCACAGACAGCAAGTGCAGCCAAATCATCCCAACAGGTTGAGTATGCACATCCACAGGTTATTAGTGTCCCCTTGGTGTTTAGACCACTCCAAGGACGTACCTACCAGCTTATTATCAATACAAATTTAATGGTCTAATTATCTTTTCTGATAAAATCAAATCTGTTTAAATTAAAAGAGTTAATTGCATCATATGTTTTTAAAGTACGACACTCATTTTAAATTGATCCCTAAATTATAAAATATTCCAATTTAATCCTTAAACTATTATTACCATTCTAAATTAGTCCTCCAACTTCTGAACATTACAATTTCATTCCTAAACTATGACCTTCATTCTAAATTGGTCCCCAAACTTTTTGAACATTTCAATTTCATCCTAAACTATATGTATATATTAATCACATCACTTGTTAATAAAATCATTAGGTCAAGTTATATTATTATATATTTAGAAAAAACACAATTTAAGTTAAATTAGGATTAAAACTAGTTACATATTTGGATGAATCAAAGGAAGAAATCGAAATACTAAAAAGTTTGGGGAGTAAGTTAAAAAGAGTGTCATAGTTTAATGATAGAATTAGAATGTTCAAAAGTATAAGAACTAATTTAAAATAAGTTTTAGTTTGAGGATGAAAGTGGAATATTCAGAAATTTAAGAACCAATTTAAAATGAGTGTTATAGTTTGGAGAATATAATGCAATTAACTCCAATTAAAAACAATTGGAAAATATAAAGGAGAAAGAAATGGGTTCTTTTTAGAAAAATTAGTGATTATTCCAATTAAATCAGTCCAATTACATATTTTTTTTTACTAAATGAGAGTATTTAACAAGGTAAATAACTCAAAGTCGACCCCATAATTGTATACAAAATAAACTCTCTTATAATCTCTAAGATACAACCTAAAATAAGGACAATTAACATGTATTCTAACAAGCAAATTGATAAAAGATGTAAGCTTTAAGGGCTAAATTTATGATTATGCCTACAAGAAATTGTAAGCATTAATGGATGAAAAACATTCATTTTGAAATTTCCACTGAAAAAAATGAATACAAAAGAGGCATATTTAAACAAGCCATTAAAGACGGCACCCCAAATCCATATCAACATGATGGCCTAAATCATCAAGAATGTGTATCTTCTATATTCTCTATAAAATAAAACTGTATTCCTATTTTCCCAACACAGCTTTAATGGCCTGAAATACTGAAAATTCAGGTGGCATCGGCACGAAGGTATCGATTTTAAGAGACTTGGCCCAGCTGCTACATTTCACAATAACTTGTTGATCATGGAAGAACTTGTGGCAGCTAGAGGCTTTGCTCCCAATTTCTTAACGAAAATTGGGGTTATTTAGGCATAAAACTTTAGCTAAATAGCTGTCTTACCATCGAGAATGAGAAGAATGTTTATACTCCTTCCAACTCCCCTGCCAATATCGTCTATTTGAACTCCTCTCGTAAGGATAGCGGCCCTCGTCTTGTCGTTGTCTTTCATAAGAGCTGCTTCTGTTTTGCTTAGGAGCTTTCCGGATCTCCTCTTCAAGATCATATTCTGACCGCTGTAACATAGGAAATCGCACATCAAAACAAGAACGATAGCAAAAATTACAATAGGAGAAACCATCCAAAATGGAAATTCTTCAAATAAAATAACTACAGTAGGATCGAAAAAATCTAGACATCGAACAAGAACCTTTGATTAAAAAGGTCTTTTTTTATATTTACAGATGCAATTTTGGTCCAACTTCCATGTGAATTTCAAAAAAAGATGTTCAAATGAAACCATCATAATAGCAAAAAATCTACAGGAACAAATTAAAATCCACTTTGTAAAGCTTGAATTAAATACTCATTTGTTGGCCAAGATAAGGGTAATCGAATAATATTAGTTGGTAGCACAGGCAATATACAATTAGCAAAGCAGACATGACAAAGGTGCAAGTAGACAACTGCAGAACCAAGATGGGAATGATAAAATTAGGTGCAACATTGAAGTATCTCAAGTTTCAATTAGATGGATAGCAAACCTTCACAGTATCCGATAACACCGCATATGCCTCTCCAATCGTTTTAAATAGCCTGTCAGCATCATTGTGAATCACCTCAGCAATTTCCTTCCAGAGTCGCCCCTCATCTCCATTCTCAATCCTTGCCAAGAATTGACCAGCCTAACTCAACCCAAGGAAATAGACCAACACGATATATAAGCACTTGTCATACAATAGAAATCAATTAAAATGTATACCAATGACAAACCTTGTCTGGGTGATGCCTGAGCGCTGCTTTGCGATATGCCTTTTTAACATCAGATGCAGAATCCGATGGTTTAACTCCCCTGCCATTGCAATTAAAGATGGTTTCAGAAGATCAAAAAATATAGTGTTGCATCAACAAGACGAATATTTGAATAAGTACTATCAAAACAATGATTTATTCAGGGAAGGTCAGAAAAAATGTTTGTTCCTATTTTACTACTAATAAATAAAAGTGTAGCAGCAACAGGCTGAATGATTGAACAAATATTATCAAGACAATGGTTTCTTCTGGGTCCCAAGAATTAAATGAGGCCAGAGAAAAAAACATGTTTCAGCTTTAGCACTGATATAACTTAAAGCAAAGATTTCCACTACATGATTCAAAAGTATTAATTGGCTTTGGTCCTTTATTTATTATAACTGTTATTATTACTTTGTCAACTAATATGTTCATGAATAACAATAACTTAACCAAATCGAAATGTCCTTCAGTATTAGGATAACACTAATTACCCTACAAAATAGATTAAGCAATGATCATGCCAACTTGACAAAAGCTTTGCATTAAGGCATGCTACAAAGGGAAAAAAAATATCAAGACCAAGAGCAGTTATATCCCCTACCTCTAAGCTTAACATATAACAAATTATATAGAAAATACTCTGTTCCCAAGCTTTCAAAAAGTACTTACAAAATGAGGTATAAATCTAATGGGATTTCTTTTTTAGCTTCTTCTTGCATGGATGATAACTGACGACGCGCTAGTCCTATCTCTTTTGAGTTGCCAGTAGATCTATCCCGATTGTCAGACTGGTGAGTCTTTTTCTCAGACTGATGAGTCTTTTTCTCCGACTGCTTTTCAAGAATGCAGATAAGTCTTTGAAAATCAATAGATGCTTGGCTGTAATCTCTGATCATCCCATATAATGTTGCTCTCCTGGAAACTGCCTGCTTTACAGGGCAGGACAGCCAGTGAGTGCAAAGTAGTGAAGAAATAATAGTTAAAATAACTGACAAGAAAACCAAGCACAAATGCTTAAAGACTCAAATGAGTAAAAGAATGCAAATTTTACGTCTATCACATACCCTTCTCTCGCCATTCAAGTTTTAAATTGAGATAAAGTTAAAATTGGAATGTCCAATGAGGGGCCTAGAGAATAGGTATTACAATGGTTAATGAGCTCAACAACATACCTCCCTAGAGCTTTTTCCTGTATTCAATTATTTTTATACTAAAAACAGTGCAATTTACACAATATTTGTTTACAGTTTGCAACAGACTTATTCAGGTTATGCCTCTCCACTTATTTGCTATTAGATAGATGTTTATCGTGATATTAGAGCCAAAGTTGTTTTGGTTTTGTAGCATTTTATTTGCTGTCCACGAGCTAGGCCATTTTTTTGGGATAAGAAATTAGGAAGGAAATCCCAAAAGTTTAGCAGAATTTTGGTTTCACCATTTACTGATACATGAAAATCAAAGCTAGAACATTAAGATCGAAGACCACATGCATTGCTTGCAAATGAATGTAGACCACTATCATTGGTAGTCAAGGGCCCAAATAGCCGTGGCCACAAATGCAGTCATTTGTGATGTACCAAAATGACCTATTTTTCCGTGTCTAATCTGTACCCATCTCAATTATCATGAATCAAACATTAACCAGTAATCAAATCCACGCAATTGAAATCAGAAAATTCTCGAACTTAATATTGAATGATCAGACACAGAAATAAATATAAATCCTCTCAGAATTAAGGGGAAGCAACTATACTAATTGAATAAGTGTAACATGAGCTAGGCAACTTTTTTGGGAGAAGTAATTAGGAAGCAGATCTCAAAAGTTCAGCAGAATTTTGGTTTCACTATTTACTGATACTTGAAAATCAAAGCTAGAATAGGAAGATCGAAGACCACATGCATTGCTTGCAAATGAATGTAGGCCACTATCATTGGTAGTCAAGAGCCCAAATAGCCAAGGCCACGAATGCAGTCATTATTGATCAACCAAAATGACCTATTTTTCTGTCTAATTTGTATCTATCTCAATTATCATGAATCTCACATTAACCAGTAATCAAATCCACGCAGTTAAAATGATTAAATGCTCAATTTAAAATTGAATAATCAGGCTGAGAGAAAAGTATAAATTCCTGCTAAATTAAGGGGAAGAAACTATACAAATCGCATAAGTGTAACATGAGTAAGAAACTTAAAATCCAAGCCTGACAAGTAATGAAATGGATTGCTCCTCACAAGAATAACAGCTTGTGTCCCATTAAGTGCAATCAATTTAAGGTTTTAAACATCAATAACAAACTGGAAATCCAGATAAGCGTTCTTTGTATTTAGTTTTCTGTACTATCACTCCTAATTAGGAGTGAGCAAAACTCGGTTAACAACCAAGTTAATGGACCAAACTGAGGCAAATTGGTTATTTGGTCCGGTTAATTATGTTCAGGTTTTGGGTCAATTGGGTGAGTTGGTTAAAATCAACCACCAAATTAACCGACTTTATATAAATATATTAAATTTTATATACTTTACATATATTCCCCAAACCCAAATAAATAAACCAATTATTCAAAAATCAATTCCAACCAGAATTCTGAACCCAAATTATAATATTCTCAACCAAACTATAATATTCCCAAACCCAACAAAAATAATGACATCCATTAATATTCTTTTTTCAGTTAAGTTGGTTAACCAAATGAACCGGCCAACTTAAGTTGATCCAATATTACGGTTTTTCTTTACAGTCGGTTTGGTTATTGGCTTTTAATTTTTGAAGGTCAGTTTAAAGTGTTTTTTAACTGAACGGACTGATTGCACACCCCTACCTCTAATCAGTTAATCTTTGTGTTCCTAAAAAGACTTATCAAACAGAAAGAAGACCACAATCGAAAAGCATAGCAAAACCATTAAAGAAATCTTCCCAAAAAGATCCAAAAATAGCTATTGCAGCTACAGAAGCATTCTTTGGTTACATATGGCAGAAAGGAAGACAGAAGGAGAAATACAGACCTTGGAATAATTTTCATCCAGGGCCATTGCTAGACTGCAATCTGCAATTGCATCGGCAATTTGGCCCAAAGCTTGGTGTGCAGCAGCACGATTGCAGAAACAAATTGCTGCAAAAGGTCGTGATTCAACATTGCTTGACAGAGCACTTGTGTAATACTCTATTGCTTCTGTATACCTACCAGAACGAACTGCATCGTTCCCTGCATTCTGAAAGTAAAAAATGGCAAAAGAGACAAAATAAATAAAGAATACAAGTACTTTAGGAGGCAACACCTGAAATTACACACTATACATGAATCAGCCAACTGGGTAAATGATCACAACAAAATGTAAATGTCATTTTTACAAAATCACCTTCTCACCATCTCATAAGCCATTAAATACAATTTATGAGTTGTTTTTATCATTCCCTCCAAGAATAACAAAATGAAGGCTTTGATGCCATCTTTTCACCAGATCAGATTCTCCTAAAACTTCTCATAACAAAAGCTTTAACATTCATGGGATAGTACTGAAAAGGCCACGGTGATTCTGACAGATGAATATGCCCCATAATCTTGTCTTTCATAGTCACAGGCATAACAGCTCTCTATTTCCTTAGTTATATCAATTATCAAAAACTTGTGAGCACAGAAAACATCATACAACTTTCTTGTTTTTTTTCCAGGAAACTGTTCCAGGGGACTTATCCTGACATGCTGGAAAAATGATTTCTAGGGGAAGATCGCTTCATCGATCTAATTCATCTTTAACTACTAGGAGTGAGTCGTTGGAAAGGAGAACGGTTAGTTATAAAAGAGTGTATTCGAGATCAAGGGAGAGAAGACATTGGCCATTATCTGCAGAAGAGGAAGCCTTAGACAAGCTAAAGGGTAAGGACTTGGTGCTAAATTCAGTTCTGCCAGTCAGTCCAGTAGCAGATTTTAATATGGATGATTGTGTGGAGTCTTCTGAGGAGAGGCATGTTGCTAATAGCAGTTTGGGTAATACGTGTGAAGGGTGGTTTTCAGGAGGTGATGATTCTGATTTCAATTCCACTGCATTGATTCGAAGAGCAAAAAGGTTGTTGATAAGGGAGGCATTGGATCGGGCAAGCATTTCAACAGTTTCTTCTCCAGCTTTTTCAGTTCTATTGGAGGAAGCCTTAGCTACTTGGGAAGTCAGTAAGCTTTTGGGGGTGTCTTTCAAGGAAGGGAAGTAAACTTTTCTGGAAAAAATTATTAAGTTGGAGGAAGATTTGAGGCTGGTTTGAGCTTCGGTTTTCTTGGCAGTTCTGGTTTTTTATTTTTGTGATGATTAACCAATTAGCAATTATTTCATGGAACGTTTGGGGATTGGGAAGAAAGGAAAAACAAAGATCTGTTCAAAAATTAGTTCTAAAGAAACGCCCTATTTTTCTTTTGCTTCAAGAAACGAAAATGGAGAAGATTCAGAGGCAATTTTTGAGGAGGAGTGGCTTGAATACCCTTCAAGGGTTTACAGAATCTCCAGCAGTGGGTTCTTCTGGAGGTTTATTGAGTTGTTGGGATGAGGGCATGTTTGAAGTGGAAAATCATGTTATAAACAGAAGGTTCATTGCTACTTTTGGGAAATTTCGAACTTCACAACTTAGGTGTGGTTTTATCAATGTTTATGGTCCTACTGTTGAAGAAGAAAAAGCTTGCTTTTTTGAAGAGTTAGCTGGTTTTATTTGTGGTCAGAGTACTCCTCTTTGTGTGGGAGGTGATTTTAATGTGTATCTTTCAGAAGAGGAGAAGATTGGAAGAGCCCAAAACAGAAATTCAATTAGAATTTTCAGTCATTTTATCAAACAGACAGGCTTAATTGATTTACCTCTGCACGGGGGTAGGTTCACATGGTGTAGCAATCAGGATATACCCACCTTTGTTAGACTGGACAGGTTCCTTGTTGATGTCCGTTTTTTGGAAGCCTTTCCTGAGACTACACAGTATTTGTTACCTAAGGCTTTATCAGATCACAATGCCATTTTTCTTAAGAATGGTGGAGTTAGTTGGGGTAAAAAGCCATTCAGGTTATTTAGTTATTTGATGGATGAAGAAGGTTTTCAGAATTTAGTTGGCTCTGCTGTTCAAAACTGCAAGAGTAAACACAACAGAGCTGGAATTTTTTCTATCCTGAAATCTACCAAATTGGCGATCAAGGAATGGGCAGGGAATAGAGATCAATACCCAGCTGTATAAATTGCAGAATTAGAAAGGAATATCCACTTAGCAGAGGAAAATTTCCAGCAAATGCAAGACTCTAATGGCTGTGAAAAAGCTGCAGAATTGAGAACTATGAGAACAGAATTATGGAAGCTTTATAAAATTGAACAGATTTGGTTTCAAAAATCGAGATCAAAATGGGTGCAAGCAGGGGATCGTAATACAAGATTTTTCCATGCATGTGCTTCAGTCAGGAGAAAGAGTGGTGAGGTTATTCAAGATCCAGCTATCATCAAAGCTACTGTTAAGGACCATTTTTTTGGAATCTATAATTCTAAGTCTACCTTGGAAGTTGAAGATTTGAAGCTGAATTTTTCCAGAATTTATGCGGAGCAAAGTGTGTTTTTGGAAAGAGAATTTATTGAGGAAGAAATTTGGGAAACTCTTCAATCGTGTGATAATAACAAAGCTCCCGGACCGGATGGCCTAAATATGGGCTTTTTCAAGAGATTTTGGTCTATTCTAAAGGTAGATATTCTGAAATTTTTTCATAATTTCTATATGGGGAAAGATTGGGAACATGGAGTCAATCATACTTTCATTACTCTTATTCCCAAGGTGTCTAATATTGGTGGATTAGATGATTTTAGACCCATAAGCCTTGTAGGAGGGTTGTACAAGATCCTTTCAAAGTGTCTTTCAAGGAGATTAAGGAATTGTATTACTGGTTTGATCAGCCCAACGCAGTTTGCATTTATTCCAGGTCGTCAAATACTGGATTGCTCTCTTATAGCTAATGAGGGAGTTGACTTTTGGAGGAAGAAAAGGCTTAAAGGATGTGTGTTTAAAGTGGACTTCAGAAAGGCCTATGATACTGTGAATTGGTCCATTCTTTTTACGGTTATGGAGAAAATGGGATTTGGCTTCAAATGGAGGAGTTGGATCAGACAATGTGTAACAACAGCCTCAATTTCAGTTTTGATTAATGGGGTTCCTTCTCAGGAATTCCCTATGGCAAGGGGTCTCCGTCAGGGTTGTTCTCTATCTCCTATGCTTTTCAACTTGGTTGGGGAACTTCTAAACTTATTGCTTTCAAAAGCAGTATCTGAGGGATTGTTTTCTGGACTGCAATTTGGAAGAAATGAGACGGCTTTTAATTTATCTCATCTGCAATTTGCAGATGACTTATTTATTTTCTGTGGAGCTTCGAAGAATCAGATTTTAAATGTTAAGAGGGTCCTAAGAGTGTTTGAACTCATTTCTGGCCTTCAATTGAATTTGAAGAAAAGCAGATTATTTGGTGTTAATACGGCTGCGGAGGAGGTTGAGGAGTGGGCCTCGTCTATTGGTTGAGCAGTTGGGAATTTTCCCTCTGAATATCTAGGTTTGCCTCTCGGTGCATCTAGGAATTCTTCCTCTCTTTGGGATCCGGTGGTTTTACAATTTAACAAGAAGCTTGCAGGTTGAAAATCGAACACTCTTTCATTGGTAGGGAGGTTAGTCTTGATTAAATCGGTTCTCTGTTCACTTCCAACCTACTATTTATCTCTGTTTAAAATTCCTTCCTCGGTTAATTCCAAACTCAATTCCATAATGTCTAAATTCCTATGGGGAGGTGGAACGGATAAAAACAAGATTCATTGGGTCAGCTGGCCCAATGTGTGCAAATCTAAGGAGGAGGGAGGTTTGGTAGTGTTGAATATTATTAATATGAACAGAGCTCTACTGGGGAAATGGTCTTGGAGGTTTGCTAATGAAAGGAATGCTGTTTGGAGGAGGTTGATATGTTCAAAATACAATCTGGATCCCTACTCTTTACTGTTCAATAGCAAGATTCCAGCTCAATCCTCTTGGATTTGGAGTTCAGTGGTTAATTCTCATTTTAAAGAAGACTCATTTGGCTCAAAATTTTGAAGTATGTGCAGAATTCAAGTTGGTTGTGGTCAGTTTATCCGTTTTTTGCAGGACAAATGGGCAATTGACTGCCCTCTTAAGGTCTCTTTCCCAAGGCTGTTTGCTATCTCTTCAAATCAGAGTGGTAAATTGATTGATTTCAGCGAGTTTAGTTCTTTAGGTTGGATTTGGAATATTCGATTGAGGAGGAATTTGGCTGATTGGGAATTTGAACACTGGACTAATCTGATGACAATCATTTCTAATTTTTGCTTGTCTAAAGATGCCAGCGATGCTCTGATCTGGAAAGGGAAAGGGGATGGTGTTTATTCTGTTAATTCTTGTGTGAAGATTTGTTCCTCGGTTTCTCAGGCGAACTCTTTTTGGAAGAAAATTTTGTGGAAAGGATTGGTGCCACCAAGGATTGAGACTTTTATGTGGCAGGTGGTCCTTCAAAAACTACCAGTGAGGACTGAACTGGTTAAAAGAGGGGTTTCGGATATTGTAGATCTTTCATGTCCTTTATGTAATTTGGTGGATGAATCCTCTTCTCATTTATTTCTCTTGTTTTGTCGTGTGGTCTTTGTGGAATAAATTTTTGCAGTATTGGAGTATCAATTCGGACTTTCATGGAAATGCACAAAACTTTCTTCTAGCTTGGGAAGATCTAAATTTCAGTTCTACTATTTGGAACTTTATTCCGGCTGTTGTTATGTGGACTGTTTGGAAAGTTAGAAATGACATCGTCTTCGAAAGAGGGAAGTTATATCAAACTAATTTATTTTTCTTAGCTAGAGTAAGGCTTGCATCTTGGTTCCTAGCTAAGTTTGCAGATTCGGTCATTTCTTTGGATTCCCTTATCAATGACCCTTCCCTTGGGGATTCATGTTTCCCTCCAAACAAATCAATTGTCTCTACCATCCCGTGGTCCCTCCCTCCTAAGGGCTTTGTCAAATTGAATGTGGATGCAGCTACTAGTTCTGACTGGAAGAGCAGTGGAATTGCAGGTATTCTAAGAGATGAAGAAGGTCTACTTTTAGGTTCTTTTAAGACAGCTTCTGGTCCGGGTCCACCTATTCTGATGGAGTTAAAGGCTGTTAAGGAGGGTTTAAATTTCTTTCACTCAGTGAGAGGAGGTATTAAGGGTCGGTTGATTATAGAATCAGATTGTAAAATGGTAGTGGATTGGATTAAGGATGGATCTTGTTGTCCTGTTTTCTATGCCTCCATTGTTAGGGAGGTAGCTGTTAAACTCAAAGAACTCGAGGGAGTTATTAGATGGGTGGCTAGGACAGCCAATATTGAGGTTGATGGGTTGGCTAAGTCTGGTATTGGTTAATTTTACTTTGTTGTTGGGATATTTTATTTTGGGTTATTAGGTTGTTTGTAAGGGTTTTATCTTATTATTGTAAATCTTATGTATCTTTATTAATAAACTTTAAGGCACTCTTTTCCTCCTTCCTCTGATTTAGGAATTCAATATGAGTTCCTTAAATCATGAAGGGGGTTTTTAATGAGGCTTCAATTCCTATAAAAAAAGACTAATTCCTGCAGGCATGATCATGATGGTGTACCATACCATTGAGATCAAGCCTTAGGGGATTAGCATTATCTTCATGTCAAAGGACCACCTATGAATTTGAACTATCCCAGTATTCAAGAGAGAATGTATGCAATAAGCAACATCCTGATGAAGGGCTATATCATATACCTTAAGGCGCAAAAGTTCTCGAATTGTAATAGCCAACAAAACAGACATTTCCAAAATTTTGCCGCTCTGCCTACAAAATTACAACCAGAGTTCAGAATCATAAATCATAGCATGATATGCAAGGACATGATGGTAACAGAGCAGTAAAAATATGTTTAAAAAAATGAATAAAAATATTATGTATACTTGTCCTCCATAGATCCCACTTGCTCAAGCTTCTGAAGTAAATCAAGTGCCTTCTCAAGCTTTCCCATACAGAAGTATGATTTGGACATCAAGTTCCACCTCCACACCATAGCAAAAGAATAGCATCCTGAACCATCTGTGCTTGCTAACTGGTTAGCTGTCTCTGCTTTAGAAAAATTCTTCTCGGCAATAGAAAGAGATTGTTCACACAATTGAATTGCCTCTTCATATTTCCTCAGCTGCAAGAAGCCAAAATAAAAAATGCAATCCAAACTTAGATTGTTGCTTATAGCGTATAAATTAAATGCTTAAACGAAAAGAAAAAAATGAAATGGAAATAATAAAGGGAGAAAAGAAATGGAGAAACTAAAGTGGCATATGGTACTTTCGCATGTTAAGAATACAATGGACCCGTTCTTGGGAATGTGATTGCTAAGAAAGTAATTGCTAGAAAAATAACATTTTAACGTTTAGTATACATGGGAAAATATTGATTAAAATCATGAGAAAGTTACATTGATATGTTTTGCACCAAACACTTTACAAAGAATGTGATGGTAACAACACTCAAAATTAACCTCATCAAATAAAATACAAAGTTTATTAATTTTAACTTCTTTAATGATATTTATTATTAATAAAAGATAGTTTCTTATTAACAAGCACAATATATAATCCATTTATTTTTTATAATATTAATTTATTTTTTAAAATAAATAAATTAAGACATATAAAAAATAAATGGTATATTATTAATTTAAAATAAGTTTTAGATATTTAATATTTATTTAAATTAGAATATAAATTAAATTTTAAATTGATATAGTAATTAAAATAAATTTAAAATAAAATATTTTTTATGATTTTAAAATTAGAAAAAAAAGTGAATAAAAATAATGGAAAAAATGAAAAAGGCTATTTTTGTCTCAAATGTATTTTTTTAACTTCCCAACTACATTGGAAAATTACTTCCACGCTGGAATCACATTCCCATGTTTGAGGGAGAGTAATTCCTTAAGAAAGTTACATTCCCATGAAAGTTGATGGGTTTTAGCATACCAAACATGGAGATCACTCTCCCCTTAAATAAATTCATTGGAAAGAGTATTCCATCATACCAAACGCCCTCTAAATCAAATTACGTGTTGAAAGAGAACATACCATATAAAGAGCCTCTGCCTTCATTTCAAGCAATTTTTCAGAATATGGACTGATAGACAAGGCCTCAGCAATCATATCTAATGCACTAGATGCTGAACTGGATGACTTTTGTTCCAAAAGTGCTGTGGAACTAATTAGAAGCTCATCCACTTTCTGCAGGCAAAAAAAGAAAAAAGAGGGTGAGAGAGAATCAGTCACCAGCCACCACAATATACTTCAAAAATCAGGCAGCAAAACATACCACTACAGTCTAGTAATCTTAGCCTTGTAGAGCTTAAGCACTGAACTCGAAGCCTGAGCCACTTAAATTCTATTACTCAAATTCCTAAACTTCAATCAGTTCTATTTAATTATTGAAAAAAAATACTTACATGGACGTTTGAAAATAGTTATTGGATTTCAAATGTTTTCTATGTAAAGCAGTATATTGAAGAATCAAGCAGAATTTACTAATTTATTACTTAAAATAGAACTAAGTTGAAAGTTAACTACCATAACATTTACTGTCCTGTCAAACAAGACCAAGAAAATTCATGTTTACTTATCTTTGTAACCTATTTTGATCATATTTGACTGAAAAGGTTAGATATTTGTATACATCCAATATAAGCGAGTTCAATTTTTTCCCGAATTACATATATATATTGATATTTTTGGCTGGGTCAAGACCCTTATCCCTTCCTACATTCAAGTGCCAAGTGAATCTGATTTAGGAAAAAGGCAAGGCCAGACTGTTTGGGGAGTGTGTATACATATATATTTGTAGAATTTCGCATTCCTGGAGTTGATTTCCATTTTAAATCAAGCAGGAGGCTTCAATAAATTTAGCAAACAAAGAAAAGTAAGCTTAGGCAGACTATTTGTTCTCTATTTAGAGGTTTTGATTTGCTCCACTAACCTAGTCAAGGACTATTGGACTTCCATCCTGTCAGCTACTCTTATCATGGTTAGTCATTAGCACCTCTAACTCGAGTCCCCTTTCACCTCCAAACAAATGCAGAATAATCTCTCTATAGAGAGTTTTCAATCCTGTATGGGCAAGGAAATAACTAGGGATGGTCAAATTTCAGGTTTGAATTAGGTCAGGCCGGGTTTGTGAATGGGAGAATTGGAGTCGGATTTTGGGTGAAAACCCTCAATCCGACCTGGGGTAAATAACTAATATACCCCTTATATGTATAATATATGTTTGGTTATTTTTACCCTTTGTGTCTCCTTCCTCAGCCTCTCCTCTGCTTCCGACTCTTTCGTTCTTTCTTTCTTTTCCTTTTTATTTTCTTAAACTTTTTTCCTGCAAATGCTTTGATTTCCCATTTTGTTTTTCTGCTTTATTGGTTTATCACGTTATGAAGAGTGTTTTTGCTTTCCCACCAGATCCATTCATTCATTCTTTACTTTCTTTTTTATTTTAATAGTCTTTCAATTTCCCATTTTTTCCTGACTTCAAACTCTATCCATTATGTTTCAGATAAAATTTTAATTAAATATATTAGGGTTTTCAAACTCAATGATTTCAACATATATGATTTAGGGATTTTGCATTTATTTTTGATTTAGGGATTTTGCTGAGTTTTCTGTTTCCTAATGCTTCTTTTTCTACTTTTCTTCAATTTTCAAGAAGATTTTTAGTTTAACTACACGATGCAAAGCTGAATCAACCAATTTTAGTGTTGGGTTTTGATTTTATTTCTGGGGTTTGATTGATTGATTTATTTTATTTTTTCCTTCATTTCTGAAGATTGATTCCGTGCTAAAGCAGCAAAAAAAGATTGAAATTTGCTTGGGTTGGATCGGATCAAGGGCATATTCCAACTTCAAATTTCAGGGTGGGTTTGAATCGGGTGGAGAGTTTTTTTTCCTCAGGTTGAGGTCAAGGCAGCCAAAAGTCCGACCCTACCCAACCCGTGCCCATACCTAGAAATAACCAATGACCTCATAGCAGCAAAACTAGGCACAAAATAGCCAGACAGTATTGAACATTTCCATTCCTTCATAACAAACAGGAATCTTACTAGTCTAAGGGTTTCTTCCAAGGTTATAACTTACTGAACACAATCTACGGAGTACCATAATTTCATTAACCTGACACTTTTACCAAATACTAGACATGACAATGTTAAAATCAAAAAAAATAGTGCACCGATGTAAAGCTTAATGTTAAGGAATTATATTTTCATCTGAGAAACCATCCATTTCCAATTTCTCAGTTCACTTCCTGCCGTCTTATCTCCTAGAACCTATCAAGATTACTGCTAATCTGGGGGGTGTCAACCAACATGAAAACCAAAGCACGGCAGGTAGAGATGCCTCTATTATAAAATCATTACATGCAATTTGATCAAATATATTTGTAAATAAGCATTATAATAACTTAAGAACTCCAAGACTTCTGGGGCCAGGAATATTTGATATCTGGAATCTTACTAGTCTAAAAGGTTTCTCCAAGATGGTTATAATTTATTGACCACAATATACTAACTACCACAATTTCATTAACCTGACAATGTTCAAAATCAAGACATGAGGTTGGAGACACTGCAGTAAAGCTTACTAATAAAACAATGATATTTTCATTTGAGAAGCCTTCAATGTTCCTATTCCTCAGTTCACTTCCTGCCATCTTATCTCTTCTTATTAAGACAACTGTTGATCTTAGGGTTGTCCAACAGGAAATCAAACTACAATAGGTAGAGAGGTATCTATTGTACAGTCATCATATCCAATCTGACAAAATATAATCATAAATAAGCAGTATAATAACTTATGCACCCTGTGACTTATGGGATCTCTAAGATTTGATAATGCTTCCAACCTAGTAAGCAAGTAGAAAAAGGCCTTTTTTATTTTAATAAGGTAGGCATCATAGGTCAATCTATACAAGATTGACACTTGCTCGATGATAATGACATAAAGATTCAAAATGTAGCATACCTTAGCTTTTTGAAGGCCATTCGCAGCATCTATTGTAGTTCGACGATCCAAGCACACATCAGCTCCTGAACCTAAGCACTTACTGAAACACCGGACAGCAGTTTCAGTTTCTCCCAGCAAAAGGTGACAACTGCAAATTGCACACAATTGGTTTTTAGGACAGCAGTGTTCCTCATAAGGAATTAGTGAAAAAGGTTACACCATATATAACAATTCTATGCACATACGAGGAATTCCTAGATGAGAAGGGCAGTTAACAACTTAAGAAACCCCTGTATAAATAGACTTTTTCTTATAGAAATCCATATAAATAGTAGATAAAATAATTGGTCTATTTCACTGAATATTTAACCAAAACAAATCAGTTTTAAAGAAAATTTAATCTTCTAGTTAACAAACAATAAGGATGGAGGATGATGCACCTAAAATCTTGGTCATAAGCTCCAAGCAAGATTTCCTCCATTAATGGTTGACATACCAAGTTCATCCATAATCAGAACAGTTATTTTACCAAGGCCATATTCTTCTTCAATTTCATTTTATAGTTCACGCAAACTGTATGATTTCCAAGTACTTCAAAACTTCAATATAGTACTTCTGTATATAATAATAATAATATCCATGTCCCAACTAAATAAAACACAGTGCAAAGCCAAACTTGAGGGCCTTACTTGGCAGCTCTGGCATAAACTTTGAGAAAATTGGGATCAAGAGCAGCAGCCATCAGACAGTCTGCCAAAGCTTCCCTCATCCTTCCAAGAGATATCCGAGTGGCTGCACGGTTGCTATAGCAAAGCACAAGAGGTTTGATGGAGCACCGCAAAGTTTCATTTGAGGGGATAGAATTGATACCCTGTGTGTAGAATTCCTCAGCTTTAGGCAGATTATCATTTCTATAAGCCTGATTTCCCCTGATACAAAATCAAATCTTCCACATAAAAATAAAATCCAATTTCTCAGAGCAATATTAATGAAAACTAAATCACATCAGCAAAAAATAATCCAGAGAACCCATCATAGACAAAATTATATGCCTATCAATCATAAAGATACCTGAGTCGCCACATTTCGCAGACTTCGTTGACAGAAACAGTATTGGAGTTAGACCCTTGATTGAAATTTTTATTCTCCTCATTGCTGTGGTATGTAGGTTTATCTTTTTGTTCAGGCTGTACTGGATCACAAGGTGGAAACTGGACAGAGGAATATCCTTCTTTAAAATTTGAGCTTGGAGTTATAATAAATGAAGCATTCCCAATTTTCACCTTATTTTGCTTTCGAGGTTTATGCTTTCTGAATGATGAGCTACCTAGCCCAGAAGTTGATGTTGCGGAGAAGGTAAAACTTCTCTCATCTTCCACTCCTGAACCAGAACAATACTTTCCTGTGTGCTTGCTTTCCTGGGTCCCATTAAGGTCTCTTGCCCCTTCAACACTAGTGCAACTGCTATTGCATAACCAGCCAGATTTGAAAGTAGTGCATGCAGTTTCTGCTTCACAAACAGACTCTTTTGAAGGATCACCAAAAAAAATTCTTTCATGATCATACCCAAAATTCTCTTCATTTGGCTCACTGTGTTTCTGTTCAGCTTCGGACATACTGAAGGTTGATGGGTGTAATGCAGAGGGAATAAAATTGTATTCCAATGGGGAAGCCTCTTCCGATGCCTGAAAAGTTCCCTTTGATGATAGATCAGCTTCAGTAATTTCTTGGTAAGGAGAAACATCCATGGGTGAACAACATTCAGAGGAGTCTTGAATTACTTGAGAACTGCTTTCATTTAGCACATGTTGTTGCTTGGACCAAAGCTTATGCAGATAAGATTTCTTTGATGTGCCTCTCATTTTCTTTACTCCTTTCCCCTTAGCTAAGCCACTTTTTACATCAATTTCCAACTTCTCATCCACTTCGGTAAATAGATGTGCTTTGAAGGAAGAAAGATCCCACTCAGGTGTTTTAAAATCACTGAACGAAGTCCCCATTTGATCTAGATTGCCAGTTGAACAACTTTCATTGTTCTTTTCTATTCCAACCGTCACCGAGTCAACTGCACTATTTCCTTGCGAGTTGAGATTGAGAGATGCACATGTATCGATCTCACTTAGACCTACATCATCTCTACCATGACCTTGGAAAGAGTTTTCAATATTAGAAGCCTTACTGATGCCTGCCCTAAATGTAAATGGTTTGGCATCAGAAATTCCAGCAGTATCTTCACTAAAGCTATTAGAAGATACAACACCATTCACATTTCCATTGTTGGACCAATCTTGACAAGGACCACCATCTGGAGCGTTTTTCAAAGGGCCAGATACCTTCTCACAGCTTCCAAAAACAAATATGGTCTCAGAATCCACTTTTGTGTCTGAACCCTCAGTTGTGTCACTACCATCAACATTTCTATAGCAACTGATATTTAGTTTCTGTAAATCATGTTGCAATATAAATATTGAGTTTGCACCAGAAGAACCACCAACATCATTGCTATTCACAAAACCATCCTTAGACGAACCATTGTCAACAGAAACTCCAAAATTTCCACTGCTTGATTTGATTCCATCTTTGCATTCATTAGAAAAGGAACCTTTACCGCTAGTGGCACCAAAAACAAAGAAATCATTAGCACAATCCTCAACACAACTCTCATTTCCATTAACATTGAAATTAACTGCAGCAGGTTCCATTTTCTGGGACTCTGTTCCACCCTTCATATTCATCTTCCCAAAATCACCAGAAATTGGCTGTCCAAAGCTTTTGCCAGATTCTCCCCTTTCGGGATTAAATGAGGATGAATCATGGAGATTAGGCCCAAATATTGATTCCCCCGCAAAAATGGTAGACTCAATCCTATCAGAATTGGAAGATAAATTTGAATATCTTTGACTAGAACCAAACACAACACCAGCGTCACAACAATCTGGCTCATTGAGAGTCTTATCAAACTGTACTTTCCCTGAACCCCAACTAGATTCTAAACCACTCTTGGTCACACCAAAAGAAAAATCTAAATTACTATCTTTACCACCCTGGGAACCAGTCTCTACTTTCGCTTTCCCCATACAACCATCAAAACTCACTACATAATCTCTGGATTTTCCCTTTCCCGGATTTGATTTTACCCCTCCATCACTCCCATTAGCACCAAAAACAAAACCAAAATTTTCAGAGACCAATTTCTTCATGCCGCCACGCTGATTGGCTTCAAATACAAATCCATCATCCTCACTCTCTCTAAAAGGCTCCTTATTTTCATTCTCAACCTCAACATTTCCACTAAAGTCTCTATCAGTTCCATTATTAAGACCAAATACAAACCTTGGATTATTATTGTTATTATCATTGTTAACTATATTCAAACTATCTAAAAAGCTGGATGAAGATAGATTACCAATTGTGCTTGATCGACCCCAACCTTGAACGGATTGCTTAAACGGGTTGAAATCTGACCCAACTTCCCCCAGTCCGCCTCTCACCTTCCCATTCATCGGCTTCCTCAACTTGGACAGCCTTACCCGAGGCCGACCCGGCGCAGCTGACTTCTGGTTGAAGCCGTTCCTGCCGCAATCGAACTCCCCAGCACTATCAAAGATCGAGGAAGTTGATGAATTCATTTGGGAATGGATGGTTCGAGGAAACGCATTGAAGTTATAGGGTATTGCATTAGCGTTTTGAGGGGCGTTGGAGGGTTTAGCATTGGAAGAGTAGGTATCCATTGATCGAGTTTCGACGGCGGCCAGAGACGTATAGAAGCGAGAATAATTGTAAGTTTTGGTGAAATTTTAGGGTTTTGGTTTATCAAAAATTTAAAACAAAAATTTTCGATCTTGCTGTAGGGTTTTGAAGAGATGAAGTATGAACTGATTTTTTTGTGGCGTAGAAGTTCAAGTATCGGAATGCATTTCTTATTCAAATTATGGCATTTAATAATATTTTGAAAATTGAAATTTATTTATTATATTTTGATAAATGGTCTAATAAATCACGTATTATTAAAATGTTTCCATTTTGATGCTAAAAATCATTTTTTAAGATTAAAAAGTAATATATGTGTTTGATTTTAAATATAAATAAGGCAAAATACTAAAAATAGTCCCTCAATATTTATTAAAATTATCATTTTGGCTCCTATTCTTTCTTTTGGAACATTTTGGCCCCTAATGTTTCACTTTGGGGCAAAAAGCACAATTAATGTTCCAAAATATGAGCTTTTTAAACATAAAATAAAACGTTGAAGCCTAAAATGACCCAGAAAAAAGAATAAAGACCGAAGTGATTATTCTATCAAATGTTAGGGGCCTTTTGCCCTAAAATGAAACATTGGGGTCAAAATGCTTCATAAAATATAATAGGGGACAAAATAATTATTTTGCCAAATATTGGGCGCTAATTTTGGTATTATGCCTATAAATAAACTCATTAATACTTATAGATAAATTGTTTGAATTCAAATTACCTATAAAATTAAGATTTTTTTTATCAATTTGGAATGTCAGATCACGACTTAAATTTTAGAAATATTATGGGCGGGAAACAAAAATTTGAAAAATACAGGTGTTGAAAATTTATTTTGAGATTTAGGCCATTTTTTATAATACATATGGAATTCGTCATGCTTTCGTGACGAGTTTCATAAAATATATTACAAAAATATAACTCATCATGTGGACTTGAGGAAAATTGTATGGAACTCGTTATGAGGGCATAACGAGCTCTAGTTATTTATTATATTTTATAAAACTCGTCACGATGACATGATGAGTTTCAAAAGCACTTTAACAAATGACTTAGATCTCAAATTAATTTTCCAACACATATATTTCTTTTTCTTTCTTTTTTTGGATTATTTGTCTAATAAAACGTTGCATCTCTCATTCTTAATAGTTAAGTATTGATACTTATAGTTTTAACAAAATCTAAAATTTAATGTTTATTTTATAACTTCTAAAAATTAAATGATTAAAAAAATATTTTATCGCAGTTTAAAGATCATTTGTAAATTTACTCTATTTTATATTGGTACATATCGATGTGTGATGTTCATGAAAATTCATCCTCTCAACTAAATCTAATAAATAACAAAAGAATTTTATTAACAAAAATACTAATTACCTCTTACTCCATTTTATCTTTAAAAAAACATTAACCTAAGAAATTATATGCCAACTGCTTTTAAAGAATATCGATTTCCTCTTTTATAAAAATTTAATTTTTCAATAGTTTTTACTATATCTTTATTTGTTGAACCATGTTTTATAATATTTTGATATAACAAATTAAGGCAAAATGTCTTTGGACTTGATTTAATTTGTTCAAAGTTTTCAAAAATAATTCAAAGTCCATTAAACTAGAATTTGACCACAAAACAGTTTTCTGGGTACATAGTACCAATATTGTTCTTACAGTATCGATACTACATGAACAATATCGATAATATTCATTGGTACCGATACCAAAGGTAAGAGAAGTATCGATAATTCCAGAATACAAAATAGGTGCCGACACTCAAGGGGTACCAATACTACTTTACACAGTGGTATCGATACCATGAACCATAGTATCGATATTGGTCAAGTCCAACAGTCTTTAACAGCTAGTTTATTTAAATATTACAAAGGTAGTACTGATACTCTTTAAAGGAGTATTGATACTCCCTATTCTGGGCAATTTTACTTTTTCAGAATTTCATCTCTAATGGCTCCAAAACACCCGCAATGGCTAGAAACAGCCACAAACTCATTCCAACATATAAAAACAGGTTGAGGACACTTGAAGAAGGTTACAACACCTATCCAAGCAATAGAGATCAAGAGAAAAGCTATTTCACTCTTTATTTTTCCTTTTCTCTTATACATATGTGTTTGAGCTTATTGCAAATCTTTTAATTGTTTTTCTTGTGAGCTTAATTCTTGTAAACACCTACCTTTGTAAGGTTTTCTTGTGTATATCTTTTAAACTTTGTAAAAAGGGAGTGATTTTAGTTTAGCCATTGAAAAACTAAGGGTTTTGTAAAGGTTACTCTTGAGCCTGGAAAAAGAAAGAACAAATTAGTGATTTTGTTAGAAAATTCTTAGTGTGGAGCTAAGGTAGTGGATTAGACTTGGTTTAGAATTCGAACCACTATAAATCATTGTGCAAATTTTCCTATCTTTTCTCCTTTATACCCAAAAATTTCAATTGGCCAATTCACCCCCTCTTGGCAATTATTCGTGTAATACCCCAAATTTGGACCATGACTAAAATGTAAGTTTTGAAAGTTTAGGGCTAAAGTATAAACCTTGAAAAGTGTAGGGACTAAAATTTTAATTTTTAAAAGTTATATATTTTAGTTTGTAAATGAATAGTTTGGATTAAAATAGAGATTTTAGTGAGAATCGGATTTTTTTATACGGGAATTATGTTAAAAGCTAGAAAGTAGTAAAGTTCGGTATTGAAATCGGATAATCGGATTGAATTGAAATTTTACAAAATTTTTAAGGATGTTAGAAAATGGTTGGAAATATTATTTTCATATTTTAGATCAGAGAAATTTCACTCAGAACAGTGCAATTTTTCAGATTTGAACAAAACAATGAAATTTTAGTGACTAAAATGCAATTTTTGAAAATTGCATGGACAAATTCTAAATTCAAAGCCAAATTGATTTATTTTTGACGAATGAATATTTTAATGGAAGATAATACAATGTCATTAGGTAATTTTCAAGAGTTATTATGGGTATTTTTAAGATTTTTCATTAATTGAATATTAAATTCAATTAATTGGAAATTGCCATGTGTTTTATCTTTTAAATTCTATAATATTCAACACAATTAAGCCATTATCAGAATTCAATGTCTTCAAGGCAAAAACTCCAAGTTCTCCAAGGTAAGGATTTTTATTTGATTTTTTGAAGCAATATACTTGGTTTTTGGATTTAGTTATTAGATAGAGAATTAATCTACATGAAATTCTTTATCATTTGGTACCAATATTTCATGGTGAAGATGATTATGTGATGAGATTTCATAATTAAGGTTTAAGGAGGATTAGTGATCTTGAAGAACTGATGAAGGATTTTTATGTTTTTGATGTTAGTAATTATTTCTAAAGCATGTATGATAGTTAAATTAATTGTACATGCATAAATAAGGTTTGGCCATGTTATGGATTATGAGAATGATGGGATTTTGATTCAATTTGATGTTGTTATGATTGGAAATGCATGAATTTAATCATAGGAGGTTGAATTTATGATTGAAAATGAACAAAAATTTCCCCTAAATGATTTAGAGGTATTCAACCATAGGAAATAAATCTGGCAGTGAGTTTTAAAATTCACCAAAATTTTATAAAAATTATTTGGAGGTAATTTTTATATATTGTGTTCTTATATCAATCTAGTTTGTTTAAAACAAACTGGAATCAATTTCAAGGTGTATACAAAAAGATATGAATTTTTATCCAAGGAAATGTCAGAAAAACGGGCAACAGATTCTGCACAAAATAGATTCTGTGAGTCAACTTTGAAAATTCACCATAAGTTGTACAAATGAATTAGGAGTTCTTTATATGGAGGGATTCGTATTCGAGTCTAGTTTTCAATGAAAGAAATGAAATTAAATTCCAGTGTGTACATAAATACATAATATTGATTCTCCAAAGGTAGTGCAAGTTGTCTGAATATGGAAATTTTAGAATTTAAGTTGAAATGGATTAGAACATGAAGAGTAATGTTTGAAATGTTGAGGTATTTATTTGAATATTTTATTAAAGGGCTGGAAGTTTTATATTTAATGTACAATGAGCATAATGGTGAAGGACCATTATGAATTAAATGAAAAGGTTGAGGTGAATTCTAAAAAGAATTCACAATTTGTGGTTTATTTGTGTAATTTAGCAAAGATGAAGGGTTAAAGATGAAAATAAATATTCATGAATTTGGAAGAGTATTTTTGGGAAGTTGGAAATTATAATAGAAATGTGATTTAGTTTATATCGATTTAATCTCGATTTTTATATATTTTCGAATGTTAAAATCAGCTCATGCTAGTACGATACTAATATGTAGTTCGAACATTTTGTGTTATAATTTGGTATTGTCAGACTACGATAAATCTAGCAATCCGAACGATCCGAAAGGAAAGGACAAAGATCGTGACTAGGACTAATGTATAAAAGTTCTATAGTGAGGCAAAGGTGAGTGCAGTTATTTATTTAATTATTTTGATCGAGGACAACTTGCGATAAGTCAACCTCATTCAAATTTACAGTATGATTTATAAAGTTTATAAAGAATATTTTTATAATATTTTATATTAATTTTATGAATGATTTAGGGTATGAACTACCCAAACATGATATTTTATGATGGATTTATTATGATACATCAGCCCATTGTGTGTTATAGTGAGAACTGTTGGTACACTTGACATGACATTAGTTGAGTATTATCAGCTTTGATACATTCGTGTATCAATGTTATCATATCAGCTTTGGTATATTCGTGTATCAATGTTATCATATCAGCTTTGGTACATTCGTGTATCAATGTTATCAGATCAGCTTTGGTACATTCGTATATTAATGTCCAGCACCGTTGGTGCTTATCCAGGTTATGATGGCACTGAAGTGCATCATATGTCAATATCAGTTACGATTTGCACCGTGTTGTACATAGTGTGCACCTTACTCACGTATCTTATGTTCTCATAAATATGCATTGGGCTATGAAAAT